CTGGGACCCTGGGGATCCTCTATGGCACCCTGGGGATCCTCTCTGGGACCCTGGGGATCCTCTATGGCACCCTGGGGATCCTCTCTGGGACCCTGGGGATCCTCTCTGGCACCCTGGGGATCCTGCAGGGGCAGCCTGGGGGTCCTGCTCAGAGCCTCTGTGCCCAGGCAGGGAGTGTGGCTGTTTCTCCATGCACAAGGGATGGGTGTTTGTCACCTTCCCCATCCCTCTGGAGCAGCCGTGGCCCTGAGCAGGGTGGACACGGGGACACTCAGACTCCTTTTCTCCTCACAGAGGGATCTGCAAAGCCACTTTGTTCCTCTGCCTGTCTCCCATCCCACCAGGGAGCTGAGGGAGCAGTGGATGTGCCCTTGTGTCACCAGGTCCCTGCCAGCTCTGCCAATGCCACCCACACTCCCCAGTGCTGCAGCCCGTGCCTCTGTCCCTCTGTCCCTCTGTCCCTCTGTCCCTCTGTCCCTCTGTCCCCCTCAGGATAAACCATTGGCAAAGCCCTGAACCACCACAGGAGAGGAGCAGAGAGAAAGGACATCTCCCACCAGCCCAGCCCTTCCTGGCTGGATGTGGGCCCTTCCTGGCCCCTGGGAGCCCCTGGGAGCCCCTGGTGGCCCAGGCCTGGCCCTGGCTCCCTGCTCTGCCCACTCGGGGGTGCCTGGACTCTGCAGACAGGCACTGGCTCACAAGCAACTCCTGCAGGGCCTGGCCAGTGGGACAGAGCCAAAGTCACCACCAGCTTGACTTCTTCTTCCACTTGGAGGCCAAGGAGAACAGGAAGGAGCTCTCCCATGACGCTCCCCAGTACCCCACTGTGCCTGGGGAAAATGGTCACAGACAGGGTGGGAGCTGGGAGAGCTTTTGATGTGGAGGTGATTAATGCAGGGTAAAGGAAAGGGAGAACCTGAATTTTAAAGGGACACCAGGAACTGCCTGCATGGAACCCCTCCCGTGCCTCTGAGGGAGCAGGGCTGTGTGGGAGGATCTGGTTTCCCTGGCTGTGGTGAGGGTGGAGGGGCCCCGTGTGCTATTTTAGCGAGCACTGCCCTGCAAATGCCTCCCCGGACCACCACGGAGGTGCCAAGGGCCCAGGTTTGGCCGGGAGTTTTTCCCTGGGAGCGTTCGGTGGGCGCTCCTCTCAGAGCCCCTGCTCAGCTCCTTGTCGGAGGTGAAGTTTCCTTTCCGCCGAATAAGAACTTGCTGGGAAATCGCTGTGACATGAGACACATCCCAGCCTGGGAACGCTGGGCAGCGCGGCAGAGCCTGCCCAGCGCCAGGCGCCCCGCGCTGCCCGTGCCAAATCCCCTATCTGGGAGCACAATGTGTTTCCTTTCTCGCCCTGCGCTCGCTCCCGGCTTTGTTCCGCGCTCCCGAGGGCCGAAGCCGAGCGGGGCCCGGCACCTGCGGCCAGGCTGACGTCAGGAACACCTGCAGGGGCCGGGAGCATCCCCTGGCTCCGGGGAAAGGCTCCAGAGCCCGCGCTGGAGCGGAGCCTGCGGCTCTCCAAGCGCCCGGCAGCGCGATGCAGCCCGGGCCCGGCCAGCCGTGCCTTATCCAGGCAGAGGCAAAGGGCAAAGTGAAGGGACGGGGCTGCTCCGGCTCATTCCAGCACTCCGAACCACAGCGCGGCTCTGGAGGAACTGCGGAATGGTGCACGTGTAATTTAGTGATGTTAAATCTGATCAAAGACCCTGCCTGCGTTTTCCTGTGTCCACACGAGCTCACCAGCAGCTGAGCTCTGACCGCGTTTCACTTCAGACCTTTCCCAGCTGCAATTCCTCTCCTGGGGGAGCTGGAAGCTGCATCAGGACAGGCTGGGCTGGAGAAGGGGGCTTGGGCTGGACCAGCCCTGAGCAGAGAGCCGGCCCAGCGGCGCTGGAGAGAGGCGGGATGGAGAACAGACCTCCGAGCTCCTCTCCAAGCCCGGTCCTCCCTGGAGCCCTCGCGGGCGCCTGGCCAAAGCTGGACTGCAAGGCCAAGCTCTACGTGGAGCAGACACTTGCCAGGTAAAGCAGACGGGAAGCTGAGGCTGTGAAAGCTCTGCAGGAGCAGATCCCTGGAGAGCAGCCCCTGGGGACAAGCCCTGGGCTCTCCACGTGCAGCGCTGGGGTCTCGCAAGGAGCTCTAAAGAAAAATTCGATCTGGCTGGCAAAAAGCGTTCCCATGGGAAATTTTGACTTTCTGTCAGAAACTCCAGAGCATTTCTTTCTCAGCCCCAAATAAGCATGAATAGGAACAAAGATTCAGTTTTGGCAGGGGGAATGGGCTTACCAAAGAAAACTCCCAAATTTTTAAGCAAAGCAGACACATTCGATCATTTTTCTCTTTGGATTAAAAGAAAGAGAAAAATAAAACTCCCAACGATTTTCCAGAAAGGAAAAAAGTAAATTCAATAAAAGAAAGAAACCAACCCAAAAAAAACCCCGCAGCCAGTTCTCCCAGCGCTCCTCGATGCGAACTCGGCTGATTTGGCTGATGCCCCTTTCCCTCAGCACGGCCGCTCTGGTGCCCTGAGCTCCCTGGAAGGAGCCTCGGGCGAGCGGCGGCTCCGGCAGCAGCTCCCGCCCCGGGGCCTGACTTTCTCTCGGGTTTGGGACAGAAACCAGGGTGGGCCGACGGTCAGGAGCGAGTGGGTGGGAGTTGAATGGGGTTATTGTGATCTTTATCTGGGGGATTATTCCGGGCGGTGCGGGCTTGGCAGGGCAGCGCGGGGGTTTGGCCGTGGCTGGGTTTACAGACTGATAGGTGCGGCCCCGGGGAAGGAGCGGCGGGACTGGGCTGCGGAAAATTGTTCTACGGTAGCTTCATCCTTGCAAAACATTCACTTCCCAGCAAAGCCGGTGGAAAAGGAAAAAACAGCGATTTTCGTTTGCAGAAGTCTGACGCGGCTAGGAGCGCACATGGTCTGAAATGCAAAGCCTGGCATAAAAGTGACATATTTTACTGGAAACTGGGAACTTGCTTCCCTTTTATTGGAAATACATTGGAAGGGAGAAGGATGGTAGGAGCACGGCGCCAGCGCAATAACTGAACAGAAGCGTTTTCAGGAGAATTTGGGAATCCTGCAGAGGAACCCGGGGGTCCGATAGCACCCCGAGACCGCCCCGAAATTTACGGCACCGCTGATAGCGGCGACTCTGCAGGCAGGGAGCGGGGCTGAGGCTGGGAGAGCCGGACCCCTCCTGCCCCCGGCCTCGCTGCTGGGCAGGGACAGCGCTGGGACGGAAGCGAAACGCGGAGCTCCGAGCCCGAGCGCTGCCGGGCAGCGGAACCAGCGGGACGGCGGAAAAGCGAACCCGGAGCTGACCCCGGCAGCCTCGGGCATCGGGACGCGGCCGCTTCCCCCGTCCCGACGGGATCCGAGCATCGCCCCGAGGCTGCCGGGGCCCCGGAGCCGCCACCGCGGGTGCCCCGGTGCCACCGGGCCCCGCTCCCGGCCAGATAAGCGGCTCTGGCCGTGCCTGCCTGGTGAAGACGCCGACGAAGAAATTGCGCTCTCTGCAAGGCACACATCTGATTGTGATTTGGGGAAAAAAATAAAAAAATGAAAAGAAGGGAAAGAAAACAAAATAAAAGGAAAAAAAAAAAAAAAAGAAAAAAAAGGCAGCCAAACCCGGCCGCTCGGCGAGGGTTTTTTCCTATAGTCGGAGCTGCAAATATTTTGGAAGACGGGGCCGTGTTTTCCGTGTAAACAAGGCGGCGGCGGCGGCGGCGGCGGCGGGGCCGGGGCTGCGCTCCACGGGGCCGGGGGGTCCCGGCGCGGGCAGCGGAGCCCAGGCCGGGCCATCCCGCCCCGGGGCCGGGTCCCCACGGGCACACGGCTGAGCACCGGCCCCCGGAACCGCCAGGAGAGGAGCGCAGCGCGCGGGGATCCCGCTGGGAAGCGGGGGCGGAAGATCGGAGGGAACGTTCGGCGGGATGTGTGGGACTCACACTCGGGCAAGAGCTGCCCGAGCCCTTAACCCTTGTCCACCCCGGCAGAGGCCAGGGACGCTCCGTTCCGGCCGGGACAGCCAGCACGGCGCGCGTTTCTCGCTCCAGATGGAGCGAACCGGCTGCTGCCCGCTTCTCGTTTGGCCCTGGGGCTCCTTCAAGTCCCCGCCGCCGCCTGCCAGGGCCGCCCGCACATCCCGAGGATGCCGGGACCGGAGCTGCGGGCTTTGCCCGGTTTCCCTGCCCTGCTCCCGGCCGCCTTCCCTCTCCGCAAAGGGCCAGAGCCCGTCCCGGTGCCGGAGCCGGTGCCGCCCGGACGCGGAGCCTCTCGGGCTTGGGGCGGCTCCGAGCCGTGTCCCGGGGAGGGGAGCGGGGCTGCTGCGAGCTCCGGGATCCCCGGGCCGTGCTCTGCGGGCCCCCGGCCGGGACCTGCGCGGGACGGGAGCCCCTGCCCGGCCAGCCAGGGCCCCTTCCCGCTCCTCCGGACACCAACGGCGTTTTCCCGGAATCCTGAACGCTCCTTATCCCCTCTCCTGAGCTCCTTGGTTTTTCCTGCCTCGCGTTTCCGAGCTTTCCCTCGCTCTGCTCATCGGAGTCCCCCGCTAACCCCGGGGTGTCCCCGTCCCCCGGCCCCGCGGCTCTCAGTATCCCCTGCCCCAAACTCCTGTGCCCTGCCCGGTGGTCCCAGGCTCCCTGTGCCCGCCGTTTTGCACCTGGAGGTCCCTCGGTGTTGTCACCAGCGGGCTCCCGAGTACCTCAGCGTCCCATGCCCTGCGCTCCCGAGTGCCTTCACATCCCCGCTCCGCGCTCCGAGGTCTCTCGGTGTCCCGTCCTCATCCCTACACTCTCCGGTACCTCAGTGTCCTCCGCCTCTCCGTTCTCCGTGTCCCTGCTCGTCCCCGCGCCGCTCGGCGTGTCCCTGGATGTCCCCGTGCTTTTCGCTGCCGTCCCCCGCGGCTCCTTCGCTCTGCCCTCCCTCCGCCTCCCCTCCGGGGACCTCCGCGCCCCGTCCCCGTCCTCCTCCCGCCGTGTCCGCGCCCGCGGCCGGGACTCACCCACGCACTCGTTGGCCTCCCGGGCCGTCGCTCGCTGCCAGGGCCGGTCGTAGTGGAAGGGCTTGCAGCGGTCGCACTCGGGGCCGGCCGTGTTGTGCTTGCAGTCGCACACCAAGCTGTCGTCGCGGTCCCGGACGCAGCGCGACGCGTGCCCGTTGCACTTGCAGCGCCCGCCGACCTGCAGGTCGGACACGGCGTAGAAGTAGGAGTCGCGGGCCAGCTCGGAGTCGTCCTCGCTCTCGTCGCCGAAGGTGTGCAGGCGGCTGAAGGTCACCCTGATGTCGGTGGCCGTCACCCAGTCCTGCAGCACGGGCGAGTTGTCGAAGTCGTGGGCGGTGGGGCGGCCGTCCAGGGTGCTGAAGGCGATGAGGCCGCCGGAGAGGGGCCGCACGTCGGTGTGCGAGTCGGTGCACACCGCCTCCTGCTCGTTCTGCTTCGTGATGGCGGCGCGGCTCGGCTTGTTGTACATCTTGCGGCACTGCGTGGAGTAGAACTGGAAAGGCACCCAGGTCTTGCCGTAGTCCATGGACTTGTGGATGGCCATGGACTCGGGGCGCGGCGAGCAGAACTGCAGGCTGACGTAGGTCACCTCGAATTTCTTGCCGAGGGACAGGGTGAGGGTGACGTTGTGGGGATACTGGACGTAGCTGTCGGACTGCCAGCAGGTCAGGTTGTGCGGGTTGTTGAGGTCGGTGAGGAAGGAGGGCGGGTGGGCGCGCTTGGGGTCGGAGGCGTTGCAGAGGTGGCAGGTGCGGACCTGCTCCTCGCCCTTCTCCGTCACCACGCAGTACCGCGACGGCGGCTTCCCGCAGGTGCTGGACACCTTCACCTCCTTCCCGAAGGCCGAGTTGACGAAGTCGGGGATGCAGCGGCGGGGCAGCCCGTGCTCGTCGTAGCAGGGGTCGGGCTGGGCGCTCTGCACGGCGAACATGCTCACGCCGTGGTAGCCGCCGCGCAGGGGCTGCGCCAGCCACGCCGCCGCCAGCAGCAGGGCCAGCGGCGCCTCCGCTCCCCTCCGCGGCATCCTGCGCGACCTCCGCGGGGCCTGGGGACGGCGGGCCGGGGGACACGGGGCGCGCCGGGAGCCGCCGCTCGACCGCGCCGCTCCGCGGGGCACCTCGGCCGGGGACGCGGTGCGGCGGCTCAGGGAGCCCGGAGCATCGCCCGCCCCGCGGCCAGCCCCGCGGAGAAAGGGGAGACCGCGACGGCGGCGGCACCACAAAAGTGGGGCTGGCGGCGGGGCTGGGTCCCGCCTGCCTCCCGCCCCGGCCCTCGCACGGAGAATGACTGGCGGTCCCAGCCCCCGCCGCGTTTGAGGTCATGCTAAAGGAGTGACATCGCGCTCAAGGAACAGAACAACGACATCCACTGGCGGCTCAGCCAGAGACGCGCACAGGCCTCGGGGAGGGCGGGAGGGGGATGGGAGTGGGACGGAGCCCGCCTCGACACCGCCGTGATGGGCGCGGGGCTCCCGAGCCGCCCCGAGGAGCCGGGCGAGGGTCCTGGCGCTGCCCCCGCCCCCCGTGCCCCCGACGGGGCTGGGGGAGCCGGGGCCGCCCGCGCCCCGCAGCTGGGGATGCTCCGTGGGCGTGGAGCGGGACGGGGGGAAGCGGCCCGGAGGAGCCCCACGCCCACCTGTGGGGACGCCGGGGGGATCGGGACGGGGACGGGTCCCTCCCGGTCCCTGCTGGCCGCCCCTGTCCACCGGGCCAGACGGGGACTGGCCGCTCAGCTGGATGGGAAGGGACTCCGGCCCGAGTGGGCTCCCGCAGCCCCCGGCCCTGGGCCAGGAAAGCCTGTGCCGGGGAAGGTTAACGGGGGAAGCAGAGCACGGGAGCTGCTGGGCCTGGCGACCCCCGGCAGGTGGTTTTAGGGGGCTGGTCCCGGGGAAGAGGGGCCGTCTCTCTATCACAGCCCCGGCACAGACCGGACACAAGGGGCTGCCCTGGCGCCTCTTGCCACCCCCGACCTCGCTCTGCAGTTTGTCGGCTCTCCCGTTAAGGCGAGGAAAGGGTTAAAGGGCGGCACTTGTCCCGCACCGGGCCGTGGCCCAGCCCCGCTCTCCCCTTCCCACCCCCCGGACCCCCGGTGCCGAGGGGCCGCCCCCGACGGCCGCTGCCCCCTGGGCTCCGCTGTGATCCCGGCCGGGGGCGCAGCCCGGGGGCGGTACCGACACCCCGGAGAGAGTCCCGGGAGGGAGCGGAGCTTCCCCGCCTGGGCTCCCGGCCGCCGCGCTCGCCCCCCTTCCCTCCCTCTTTGATTAAAAGGGCACTTTTATTTTTCCAACGGAGGTGCCCTCTCTCGGAGCGCTGCCCACGCCGTGTCACTCAAGCGGCCGGGCCCTGGCACGGCGGCGCGGTGCCCTCCCCGGAGAGCGGCGGCGGGGCGGCCCGAGGGGACGGGGGCTGCCCGGGCAGCGGCGAGCCCCGCGCCGGCCTCCGCCTCCTCCCCTCCGCCCGCCCCTCTCCCTCTTTGAATTCCTTGCCACCGAGCTGAATAAAAGTGGTTGTTGTAAATTGAATTAGTGCCTGATTAATCTGCTCCCGGGCCTGCTAGCCCAGCGGGGCGTCTTTGGCAATGCAACCGCCTTCCCTGCAGGGCAGCGGGGCTCCGCAGCCTCCCTGCCCCCATCGCTCCCCCCGGACCCCCCCAGCCGCCCCCCAGCCCCGCCGCTCCCGGGATTTGTTAACTCTTCCCCGGGAAACGGCCCCTCCGTCCCGTTCCTGGCGCCTCCGTGGCCGGGGGAAGAGGAGGAGAGTGCGGGGATGGGGATGGGGATGGGGATGGGGATGGGGATGGGGATGGGGATGGGGATGGGGATGGGGATGGGGATGGGGATGGGGGAGCTCCGGTCCCTCTGGTCCCCCCGAGCCACCCAGGGACTCGGCCGCAGTCCGGCACACTCGGGACGCTCACGGACAGTCCCGGGATCCCCCAGCCCCGGGGAAAGCTTTAACCCCACTCCTGAATCGCGGCCCTGGTTGCAGGATTGGGGTGGGGGTGTGTGCTCCCGTCCAGCTCTGGGAGGGCACCTCAGGGAGGGAGGGGCGATAATTTGGACTAAGCTGTCCCGGGCCGCGGGGGCCAGGCCGGGCCAGAGGCCCGGGGAAGCCCCGGGACATCTCCGGCCGTGCGGGCTCTCCCAGAGCGGCGGCCGCGGCTGTGCGACACCGGGGACGGGAATGCGCAGCCCAGAGCCCCAGACTCGGGGCCGCAGACCCTGCAGGTGCCGCCATCAGCATCTCCGTCGGCGTTTGCGATCCCCCGCTTTACTCGCCCGGCGCTTTTCCTTCGGCTCCGCGCGTTCGGGAGCAGCGGCCGCCGCGGGTTCCCGGTCCGGCCGCGTCCGGGGAGGCACGGGAGGGACAGGGACAGGGACAGGGACAGGGGACAGCTCCTGTGCCCGGAGGGACTCGGGGACCCGCTCGGGACGCAGCAGGTGCCGCTGCCGGGACCCTCGGTGCGGGTTTGGCCCCGGTTGCTCCGGACGCTCCCGGACGCTCTCGCTGGCCCGGCCGCGGCTCGGGAATGCCCCCGGTGCGCAGGGCAGGGCTCAAATCTCAGCGTTTCTTTAAAATCCGCCAGGGTTTCTAAAGGTCGCCCGGCCACCCCTCAAAGCCCGCACGGTCCTTCACCGCCTCACGGCGAAAATTGGGGCGAATGTAAGGAAAGCTGGCCCCGCGGAGCTGCCCCGCAAAGCCGAGGGCTGCCTAATCCCATTAGCAGGGTGTTAATTTAACAACCTCCCGGCGCTGCCCAGAGCGGGGATCCGCGCTGCCCGCCGGCGTTCCCGGGGCTGCGGCTCTCGCCTCCTTCCTGCCCTTCTCGCTGGGTTTATTCGGCGTTTCACAACCCCCGGGGTTTGTAATGGCTCTTGCGGTCATTAACGTGATTTACCGAGGCTTTCTCCTCTAATTACCTCGCCCTCGAGCTATTAAATGCATGTAAGCAGCTCGGCGGGGACCGAGGCGCAGCTCGCCGGGCCCGGGCCCGAGTCTGCCGGGCCCTTCGGGGCAGGGCCCGGGGCTGTCCCGGGAGGATGGAACGGGGATGCTCGGGGAACGGGGCCGTGCCCTCCACAGATCGGCCCCAGCTCCAATTTGATTTTCCTGTCCTGAAGCACCAGCCAGTCCCGGCCCTGTCCTGCCTCGGGAGGGGACGGATCCTTGCCCAGGTCAGCTCCAGTGAGATGCCGAAACATCTCCGGTACCAGCACCGGGGCCGGAGCCTCGCTGGTACCAGAACCGAGGAGTATCAGACTGCTGGTACCAGCACCGGAGCATCTACAGCCTACACCGGGAACGAAACACCGCTGGGCCCACACCGGGGCATCATCTCCGGTCCCCGGTCCCTGCCCGAGAGCGCGGCCGGCCCCAGGTGCGGGCCCGGGGCCTGAGCGGCCGGGCCGAGCTGGGGCAGAGCGGAGCCGTCCCCGTTCGGGCCGGGAGAAGCCCCGGGGCCGGAGAAGCGGGAAGGGTTTGATTTCAGCCGCACCGGGGACAGCGGGAAAGGCGGCCGCGGCGCTCGGAGCCTGTTTTAAAAGTCAAATGGCTTCGGGCGCCGGAGCTCGTCCTCCTGGCCGGGAACAATGCGCTGCTGCTCGCCCACGTCCCCCTGCACCGCCCGGGCCCGGAGAAGGGAGGGGGAGAGCCCGAGCGGCTCCTCTCCTGCTCGGCTCTCGGGGGGCCGTTCCCCGGCGGGACCGGGAGCGGCTGGAAAAGCAGAGAAGACCCGGGTTGAAATAATCAGGAGCGATTTATTCCCCTGGAGTGACAGTTCTTTTGAGCGGTTGCCGAATGGCAGTTTCTGTCTTTCTGAAAGCTTTTCTTCCAGATTCTGTTCAGATTAGGCTGGGGAGATGAATGAGGCCATTATCCAGCCCAGTAGCTATTCTGAAATGCCAAATTAATTACCAAGGGCTAAATCAAGGCGATGGGGGCTGGAGGGGAGAGGGGGGCGGCGGTTTGAGGTGTGAAAATATCTCCGCGATCTTTTAAACACGGGCACGGCGGGCGGCCCGGGCTGCTCGCCTCAAACCCCCCAAACTTCGCTCGGGGGCAGCGGCGGCCGGAGCCGAGCGGAGCGAGCGAGGAGAGGCCGCGGGTCCCGCTCCGGTTCCCCTGGCCCGGCTCCGGCGCCGCTGCCGCATCCCGCACCTCCGGCGGGCTCCGCGTGGGGCCGAAGCGGGGCTGAAGCGGGGCTGAAGCGGGGCTGAGGCCGCTTGTGCCGCTCGCGGCTCCGGCGGCCCCTCCGGCACTGCCCGGCTCTCCCCGCTCCCGTCCCGGGGACTCTCGGTCAGCCCCGCGCCGGTCCCGCAGCGCAGGGAGCAGCAGCTCCGCTGTGCCGGACCCGTCTGCAGGGGTTTATCGGCAGCTGAGCCGCCGCGGAGCCAGCCCCGGGCATTCCCGAATTCCCGCAGCTCCGAAGGCCGCCGCGGGGATGCCAGAATGATCAGCCGGTCGCGCCTTTGCCATGAGAGAGGGAAGGGGAGGGCGAGGGATCGTGCAGGGATGCTGATCCCTAACTCGGTTCGCGTTGCTTGGCTTGGAGGGTCACAGAAACGCCGCGGAGAAAGGGGAGAAAGACCCGCTCCGAGGGAATTAGGGAAAAAGGCACCTCTGGCTCTTCCCGGACTGATGTCTCTCTGCCAGCACAGATGACAACATTTGCACATGACATTTAATCCTCTACCCTAAAGCTCTGGGGCTCCCGGCAGGCAGTTATTGTTATTATTGTCGCTCTAATATTTACGCTTTGCTCCCAAACAAGTGTAATTTCCCCGATCGCTTTGTAGCCCCTTGGCCCCTAATCCAGTTTTCTCTTCAGTTCCCGGGAGACCACACCTCTGGCTCCTCTCATTCATAGGAAAGAAAAAAAAAAAGAATGGAAGGAATTTTTCATTAAAACGTAACCGTTTAGGGAACGGCGGGCCAAGCCTGACTCAGTTTTGGCCGTGGGGTTGATGCTGAATCCCCTGCAAACGCCCACGGTCAGCGAGGGACATCGCGGCTCAGCCTGGGCAGC